TCCATTGATATTTTAAGATTTGCAAGAAAAAAAAAGTACAATAGGCCTTCGCCCAATAACATAGGGAATAGCAAGTTATAATAGCCCCCAGTTAGGAATTGGCTATGAATGTTTTCTTTTCAAAATATTAAATTATGAATTCAAAGAGTTGTAGGCGATAAGGCCTATTTCCTGGACCCCACCCCCACCTCCCAAAGGAAAAGAAGCCCCTGTATGTTAACATAACGAAATCCCAATGAATGACTCGCACACAAGAAAATATATCTATCTGGAATAAGTACGGCCGCCAAATTGACTTGTTCTTTTAGAAAATATTGATTAATTTAGTTAAAAGCAAACAAAAAAAAGGAGGTTCAATAAACAAAAGCTCCAAATGCATCACTTCCAAAATGTCTTGGTGCTCCTAACAAAGAGGACAAGAAACAAAGGAATGAAGAAGGAAGAAATGAAAGATAAATCCCTCCTCAGCAAGAACAATAGAAGCAGGGAATTGACTTAGTTTAATGGAGGAAAAGATAACCAAAACCCTCACGTAATGTGCATTGAACCAGCATTTTGGACTCGCACAGTCAAAAGTCGGAGAACAGCTCATACCAAGCCAACTGGCTGTCAACAGAAACTATTTTCTTAATACAGTTTGACACACTCAAAAAAATTGAGATAAGAAAACAAAGTGCAAAATCCATTCTCCCATTAAGAAAAAGATAAATCGCGTTCAATTTACCTCCACACTCTGCTTTCCAAACCATGTTCCAATTAGAATATCCTCTTTGTCTTCTCCGGGATATGAATACTGGAAAATATAGCAATCCCCACTGTAAAATTTTGATTGATCAGCAGCTGCAAGAAGTGTCTTTTCTTGCCCATTCACACGCCAAACCTGTGATGGAAGTGGAGCATATTTAGAAAGCATGACTGACCGTATATTAAGAACCAAAATGCTTTTTTACATAGCATTGTTATAAACCAAATTAGTCACATGCCTTGAAGAGGGAAGATAGCATAATAATACTGTCATTTGATTAAAGTCAAGATCAGAATATAAAAATTTCTGCTACCAAGGAAGAAATACAACTTTTCTTAAGGATGCATTTGCAAAAGAGTTAGCAAACAATGTGTAGTTTCTTAAAAAATTAAACTCTTTTGCTCTGACTGTCTCGTGTTTCTTCAATTTTACTCCACAATGGCAAGTCTAGATTGCCTAAGTACATTATAAATTATAATTCTATTAAATGGAAAACTGTTATACAATTTTGAAGTTCAATAGCAGACTCCAGAAAATGCAAAATACAACCAATGTAATCTTGAC